CTTCAAAGAACCTGTATCCAAGAAGTTAGTTTGAGGTCCAAAAGGCTGAATTTATAAACTTTACTCTTAGAAAGTTTGCCAAATATCAACATTTTGAGACACTTGATATCACAAAATAGGATCACAGGTCACCTTAAAATAGTCATTGGCCGGGTGCAGTGGCTCATGCCTGTAATCCTAGCACTTTGGGAGGCTGAGATGGGTGGATCACCTGAGGTCAGGAGTTCAAGACCAGCCTGGCCATCATGGTGAAACCTCATCTTAAAAAAAAAATAGTCATTTAGCCAAAATGATAAAACAGAAACTTTCCCCCTTTGAAAGACAAGAGACTGAGTGTCCTAAACAGTCGGACCTAATGAAGACACCACGAGGCCAGCCGCACCTGTCTCTCCCCTTCTTTCTTTTGCCCTGCAGTGTACTCTAAAGGTAAACAAAAATATTTCATTTATTTTTAATCTTATACAATCGTTTTGTTCAAAAGAGAAAACTACATTTTACCTTTATATCACCTATTACCATGTTAAAGCTAATTTTAATAAAACCTTGTATACAAATTTAATTATAATCAGTCTTACCATAATGTAAGATTTCCATAAACCTTTTGTAGCCTTTTATACTTTCTATTAAAGAGCAGATGAATGCTCTAAGAAAACCCTGTTATTTCAAAACACGGGCCCAGATGCTGGCATTGCATCAGTGTGCCTCTGAGAGTAATGCTTAATTTATAGAAAATTTCTGAATTTGAGAGGCCAGGGTGGGTGGATCACTTGAAGTGTGTGACTAGCCTGGGCAATATGGTGAAACCCCATGTCTACCAAAAATACAACAAAAAAAAAAAAAAAAAAGAAAAGGAAAGAAAGAAAGAGAGGGAGGGAGGAAGGCAGGCAGGCAGAGAGGAAAGACAGAACGAAAAGAAAAAGAAAGAAAAAGGAAGAGAAAGAGAAAGAATGAAAGAGAAAAGAAGGAAGAAAGGAAAGAAGAAAAGAAGGAAGAAAGAAAGAAGGAAAGAAAGAAAAGAAAGTCTCTGAACTAAAGTTATCCCTCAAACTGCGGCCTTAACATTCTCATGTGCCAACCTCTTCTGCCTAGAGGAACATGGGAGGGCATAAGGTAGAAGAGGCGACATGTGGCATTGTTGTGGAGGACAAAAGCCTCAAGACAGCCATAGTTACAGACACAGTTGACAAGGAAATTCAGTTGTTTCTGTGGCACACGGCAATCCCTAGAGGGAAGAGTTTTAATTTCTGGTTCCGTGTCTCATGAAAGCAGTTCCTTTTGATTGTCATCTTATACAGGGTCTGAAGATGAGGCATTGATTGGCATCAGTGTTCAAGATTTAGCAGCAGTAGTTTCCTTTTTCAGACCCAGGAGTCAAAGCCCTGTAAGTTAACAGCACAGGAATTAGTTAATAGGACATTTGCACTGAAGAAAGTCCTGTTTCTCTCTAACACATCACAAAGGAAAATACTGTGACTTGGTGTCCAGTAGTCACTGCGCGAAGCACTTCAAAACATTGTATTAAAGTGGTTAGGATACTCCTTGCATGTACCTAGTTGCCATCATTCTAATGATAGAACCATGATCAAAAGCATAAAAAGCGTAACAGAACCTATGCCAAACTTCTCAAAGTAAGGCAATTAACTTTTCTCTCCATCATTGGACAAATGGTAAATTCAAGTATCAGTTTAGGAAATTCAGTATGAGGATAAGTAATCTCCTTTTCTTTAAATACAATAAAACAAGAACAAAGTGAGAATAAACACAGAATAATTTCTTTTCAGCTATTTATTTATTTTGAAACAGAATCTCCCTCTGTCACCCAGGTGGGGGTACAGTGGCAGGATCTTGGCTCACTGCAACTTCTGTCTTTGAGCCCCAGGTTCAAGAGATTCCTTTTCTATCTGATCTGAGAGATTTCAATCTGTTATAATGAGCAGTAATTAGTGTCACGTTGGAGATGACGGGCATAGTTAGTCTCATTCCCATCACTTCATTGTATGATTTCTGTGTTTTTGCTTTGTTTATAAAGTATCTTCCTGCCTTTCTTAACTAGACTCATCTGTTTGGGTAAATGGTCTGTTTTCCTATAGCATTTTGAAATTCCGTGTCCCTGATTAGTCAATATGTTTTCTTAGTTCTCAAGTGCACAGGAAGAAGGCAATCATGTACCTTAGCTCAGGGCACATCACAGTGGCTGCTCTGAGCAAGGCCCTTTACTGTCCTTGCCTTCCATATTTATCCCACTCTCATTGCCCTGTCCACTTCCAGAAATACGTTTGGAAGAGTATAGTCTATGCTTTTTCATTTCACCCTTTCTCTGTTTATTTCAATAAGGGGATATCTTTGGAAAACTTACATTGTTCTTTGAGTGAGGGGGAGGGTTAAAACAGCTTTAAAGTGTGAATTGCTTCCTTCAAAACCCATTCCATTCTCTTTACCCTGTTCTGTGTTCCATCTTCTCAACTTTTCTATTCTAACAGAAAAGTTTGTGTATAAAGATGGGTAGGAAAAAAAGAGTCAAGCCAATTTAAAATGGGAAAAACATTTGAATGGTGTTTGTTAACAAAAGAGAATTTCTTCATGGCCAAATGGCATAAGAAAGGATTCTTGGCATCATTACTCATTCAGGAAACACACGTTTAAAATGCCATGGTACACCATTACTCACCCATCAGATTGGGTAACATTTAAGAGACGGGGAAAAACACACTGGCTTCTAAGAATGCAGAGCAACTGTAACTCTTATTAGTAGCAAGAGAATAGAATAGTGCATGGTGGCTCACTCCTGTAACCTCAGCACTTTGGAAGGCCAAGATGGGTGGATCACTTGAGGTCAGGAGTTTGAGACCAGCCTGGCCAACACGGCGAAAACCCATCTTTTCTAAAAATACAAAAAAATTAACCAGGCATGGTGGTGGGTGCAGTAATCCCAGCTACTTGGGAGGCTGAGGTAGGAAAATTGCTTGAGCACAGGAGGCAGAAGTTGCTGTGAGCCGAGATTGTGCCATTGCACTCCAGTCTTGGTGAAAGATTGAGACCCTGTCTCAAGAAAGAGAGAGAATACAATAGTGTAACCATTCTAAAATACTGTCTTGTAGTTTTCAATACAGTTAAAAATACACCTACTTCATGACCCAGCCATTCCATTACTAGGTTTATACTTAACAGAAATGAAGGCACAGGTCCTTAAAAAGGCCCATAGTAGAATATTTGTAAACACCTTATTCACAGTCGCCAAGACTACAAACAGGCCAATGAACACATCAACTGTGGTGTATTCACATTAGAGTAACACTTATTAATAACACCAAAAAGTTGAGATACATGCCATATAATGGAAGCATCTCATAACCGCTGTTGCATTAAAAAAATAAAAGGAAAATCAGTACACTCCTTTATGTGATTTCAAGAAGCGAAAGTAAATCACAGAGATAGAAATTAGAATGGTGACTGCCTAAGTGGGGATGGGGTGAGGATTGACTGAAGAGGGGCTCTAATGACTTTTTGGGCTGGTGAAAACGTCCCATAACTTGATCTAGGTGATAGTTTCTTATGTCTAAATGCACTGGGCCGCGAATTCAAGATTGGTGCACTTTGGTCATTCACTGATAGCAAATAAATAAATAAAAATTGGGGTTGGAGAATGTCATTAAGTTTCTATTTTATTGTATTCTTTAGGTTTTACTTAAAATACCCAGTCCAAGTGAGAACTCTCATCTTCTCTTGTTCATTTCTGACTTGGTCTGAAAAGGCCCCACGGATATTCGAAATAACTAAGCTAGAGAAACAGGTATGGCCACATCATGTTGACAGCAAAAGATTCCAATAAGATTGGCTGAGAGGGAGCTTGCACTTGCTCAGAGAGGGGGCAAAAGTCTAGCCTTTCAAGATGATGCACCCCGATGTGCAGCGTAGGGGTTCCTTCTATTCTCGCCACTACAGAGAGCTCCAAAACCACAGGAAAGTTGTAACCTCTCTAGTCGCAGCTAAATGGGGCATCCTAGGCTAAGGCTGGAGGCTAAAGGGAAAGAAGAACGCTCCACCCTAAAAGGGATTGGAATTGAGATTGCTGCAGCCACAGGGGAGTTCTAACCACAATACCATCACATGGAGCTACTGGAGCTGAAGCCTGCCCAGCTCCTTCTTTAAACTTAATGTATTCGGCTGCTTTTGTTTTGGAGACCTAAAGGTCTGCATAGATTTTGTTCTTTCTTGGTGTCTATCCATTCTCCACCCCCTTTCCCCCATTCTGGTACGAAAACCACACACACACACACACACACACACACACACACACACACACACACAATTCTCATCTCTCCCTGGTGCAGTCCTCACCGCTGCACAAAGCCACTGCAAAGTTTTGTTTCCAGGGTCCCCGCCTCTGCCGACTTTTTTGCCCGCCTCCTGGCAATTCCCTGTTTGACCCAGCCCCTGTCCCGCCCCCGGCGCACACCTGAGCTCCTCAGCTCCACACGCAGAGTGGTTTGAGAGGGGTAGGACCCCTCTCTTGCCATTTGCCCCCAGAGGGCCTCGCCCCTTGCCCTCCTCACGGGAAACAATAAATCAATGGGAATTAATGCTTTTAAAAAAGAACTTACTTCCCTTTCGCGACCAGTCTGGGCGACATGGCAAAATGCTATCTCTACAAAACATACAAGAAGTAGCCAGGCGAGGTGGCCTGTACCTGTTGTCGCAGCTATTGGGGGCTGAGGCAAGAAGATCGCTTGTCCCCGGGAGGTCAAGGCTGCAGTGAGTCGTGTTTGCACTGCTGCACTCCGGCCTGGGTGACCAAGTGAGACCCTGTCTCCAAAACAAAACAAAACAAAACAAAACTTCCCCCTGGAAAAACAGTTGATGATTTCTATTTTCAGGGCTCTTCAAAGGAATAAAAGCTAAAAGATTCATTTGACAAGTCCTAGGTGTGCGCCCTGGTGAGTGCCAGACCCTGCTCCCAAAAGGGGACCCACCAGCAACCCTCACCACCGTCCCTGCCCTAGTGGAGCCCCCATGCGGGACACAAAATTTGAAGATGGCAGCGGAAGCTCCACAGACGCCCGGAGAAAGACTGGGCAGGGTGGGCCCAGGCTCCCTCCCTCACTGGGTGAAGAACAAAGAATGGGAAGAGCCCTCCTGGCTGGGCGTTCAGCTTCCCTTGGGCTCCAGGTGGCTCAGGCCGCTGACCGGGGTGTTTCTGGAGGCTTCTGAAGCAGGCCAGGGGCAAGGCGGGCGAAGGCCATTTGGCTGTTCTTCTGGCTCCAGGATCTCCCAGCGCAGGTGTGCAGCGTGACCAGAGCGACTCAGGGCTCTAAACTCTCAGGTTTTCCAAGGCCTTTCACAGTTGTCTAGCGGGTTGGCAGGGAGGAGAGGACTGAGGACCCAAGAGGTGGGGGTAGTTTGATAAGCGCGCCCTGCCTTTGGGGCCCTGTAGATCCAGTGATTGTGGTGTCTGTGGCACAGTTGGTTAGTGCATTCGGCTGTTAACCAAAAGATTGGTGGTTCGAGTCCACCCAGAGATGCCTCATGTTACGTTTTAACTAGTTTCTGTTGATACACAATCAGTCAAGTTAATCAGGATACACTCGTGTCCTCTTCCTCACTTTTTTAGGTCTGAGGCTTGAGAAGGACCAACGTGCCTTATACCTGTCAAACAGAGGAATCCCAGAGCAGGTAGACAGTAATTCACTTCTGGTGTAAAAAAAATCTTCTTTGCTCCCATGGAAGGCTTGGGTGAGTAAGGTACCTCAAGTTTTTAATTTATAATAATAGGAGACCTATTACAGTGGTATCCTATCCCCATGAAGTTCCTGGGTTTACTGATTGCTCTATCAATAATGTGACCAGTGGAATCAGTCATCCTCATGGTGATTCTTGCCAGTGTTTGTGAAAACAGCTTTTCTTCCTCAGTTTGTGCATGATTTATTTAACCCTTTTCAAAGTGTTTTTGAAATGAGGTGTATTTCATGTTTCAGGATTACAAATGATGCTGCAATCACCAACATTCTCGTACACATTTCTTTGGTCACTCCTGCAGATATTTCTATAATGTAGAGGAAAGGATTTGCCATTTTTACATCACAGCACTAACGTAACACTTCTGATTTAAGCACATTCTACAAATTTATCTTTCACGTGGATCTGGAACGATGGGTCACAGTGACCTCTTTGAAAGCTTTCTGTTAAGTCACTTATCCAAAGGGAACAAAATCACAAAGGTCCCAGGTGATTATTTTTCTTCTCCCTCTTCCTCTTTTCTTCATAAATCTTGGTTTTGCTTTTATTTGATGAAACCAAACTAACACTCTTTCTCCCTCCTATACAATGGTAGATCAGCATGCACATTTTTATTCTTTGATAGATTTCTTCAGGGGCCATGTCCATAACAATTAGCCCATCTGAGATGCATCATTGGAGCCAACAGAACCCTGCACCCAACAGGCACCTTGTGCAGATTTGGACCCTTAGAGCTATTGGTTCACGTTCCTTCGGTTCTTCTATTGAATGTCATGATAGAAATTGAGCCCTTTGGCTTTTACCCACTGTGGCTATAGCATAGTTTCTCTCTCTCTCTCTCCCTCTCCCTGCCTCTCTCTCTCTCTTATTTTTGTATCATGATTTTCTTCCATCAGTAGTGGCATCAGTGTGGGTTTCTGGTTTTGATGTTATAGAATGAACTTCTGGGATATTTTTATGACTGTTTAACAGTCAGTATTAAATTCTTCTGAGAATTAAGATTTGTGTTGCACCCAGTTTTTTCTTAGTATAAAAATGAGGTTACTAAGAGCATTTTTGGAAGAAGCCTTATTGGCTGTATTGTTCATTTTATGGGGGTAATCAATGAAAGGAAATTTGCTTTTGCATAGGATAGGCTTAACTCAGTGAGAAACTGCCAAATACTAGAAAAGGTGTTGTGCTGAACTGCAGCTCAACCAACATCACACGGCAAATCACACACACTCTGGATGAGGAAGGGGAGAGGCAACAACTTTCAAAATCAGTTTTTCTGTGTTTCCCTTCATTTTCCTTTGAACCCTTAATGGCATCTTTGAAGGTGGCTATGGTCACACCAATTGTCACCACCACCCTATTCAAGTCTTACTGCAGAGTCACGGAGAGACACCTCAGGGCAGCCCAGCCCAGTGTCAGGCTCGTAAACACCAGGCAGGAATAGATGGCTACGAAATGAGAGGGTCAGGTAATTCATCCCTGTCCTGCCATGTCTGTGCCTCTCTTTGCAGCTGCTATGTCAATAAAAACAATTACTTGAATTGATTTGGTCAAACATAAAGCCAGACATTAGTCAAAGCAGTGAAAACGGATTTGATTCAGTAACTACTGACCATAGGGGAAGGAGTTGAGCTCAGTTCCCATTTGTGCAGAGGTGATGGCATTCTATGAGGAGAGGAAGGTGGGGGAGAGGGCAGGGGACAGGGCACATGTAAAACATTACAAAACATTGCTTATAATAAACTTCTGCCTCATCAGGACAGCTATGTCTGCCTGCTGGCAATATTAGAAGACAGGATTCTAACCTCCCACAGAGACTGGAAGACAGAAACTCCAGTCTTTCCCGAGGACTACGGTTTAAAGAAATGGCTTTCAGATCCTGGGGAAAGACACACTGGAGCTCCCAGGAGATACACACACATCTCAAAGGGATGCAGGAATGATTCCCTTCTTAGTAAGTGCCATAAGAAAGGAAATCCTGAACCTGCCATCATCAGCAGGTATTGGCTAGAACTAAACTTATTTCCCCTGACAGCCTTGAGCTTTCTTGGGTGTACAATGTAACAGAAGTGTCTGGTCATCTGTGGGACATTGTCTTATGCTGCTAGAAGCCACGATAGAGTCTGGTCATCTCTTAGCCCAGAGATTTAAAATGAATTATTGTGTGCTGAATTTGGTGGTTCTCACTTTCCATTCCCCCATTCCATGGCCTAGATTTTACTGGACTCTATTAGGTGGACAAGGCCACAGGCCATTTTCAGTGGCTTTCAGGCAGCCCGGGCATATCTGTTGAGACCTGAATGAAAATAAAGAAAACCACGAGATTGAGAGTGGGCCCCACAATAGATGTCTATTACCCGTTTTCAAGGAGATGGACACAAATATTTCCAGGCCTTGTCAAAATGAAAAGTGACTCATGAAGCCAGGATAAAATTCAAACTTATATTAGCAAAGTATATAAGTTATTGATATTTTACAAAAGAAAGCTATGGAAAAATGTCAATCCACAAGTGGCAATAATAGGTAGGGGTGGGGAGAAACTCCATAAGGTCGATATTAGCCTCTCTTTAAATGAAATTTCTGTATGTTGCTACTGTAATTGAAAGGAGGCCAATGTTATGCTGAAATATATTAATTGTCGTGGAATAAATAGGGAGGACATAATGCTAAATTTACTAGTCACTTTTATTGAGGGTATTTGTGAAGGTTAATTTTTTTTGTCAATTTGCCTGGGCCAGGGGGTGCTAAACATATTTGGCTAAACATTATTTCTCACTGCATCTCTGAGTATTTCTGGACAAGACTGGCATTTGAATCAGTAAACTGAGTAAAGCAGATTTCCTTCCTAAGCGTCAGTGGGCCTCATCCAACCTATGGAGGGCTTGAATAGATTGAAATGCTATAAGGAAGTCATTCTGTCTTTGAGCTGAGACACTAATCTTCTGCCTTGGGCCTTGGACTTGGTCTTTAACTATATTCAACTCTCCTGGGTCTAGAGCTTACTCAGTGAAGACCTTAGACTTCTCTACTTGTGTGTGTGTGTGTGTGTGTGTGTGTGTATGTGTGTTTGTGTGTGTGTGTGTGTCCTGCTCATTTTCTTTCTCTGGAGAACTTGGAGTAATATAGTAATATATGCCAGTTGCCTGTTTTTCTCTATGCTTTTAAAAGATGTAAAATAAGGCCGGGCGCGGTGGCTCAAGCCTGTAATCTCAGCACTTTGGGAGGCCGAGGCGAGTGGATCACAAGGTCAAGAGATCGAGACCATGCTTTTATTTTGACCATTCTGACAGGTATGTAGCAATTTCTCAGCGTGGCTTTAGTTAGTATATTACTAGCGGCTAATAACATTCTAATTTCAACATACGAATTTGGGAGAGCTAGCAAAATGTATCCCCTAATAATGTGTATTCTGGTGTGGTTGGGTGTTCTACAATCGTCAATTAAAGTCCCACTGCTTGATTATATTGTTGGGTTCTTCTTTATTCTTATTGATTTTCTGTGTGGTTCTTGTATAAATTGTTGAGAAAGGGGATATTGGAGCGAACAGCTCTATGTGTGGCTTTGTCTAGTTCTCTGTTCAATACTCTCAGTTTTTGCATAGACATTTATGACTTTAGTCAGGGAAGGGGTTGGTGGACTGGTCCTTTCATCGTTATGTAATGTCCCTGTCTGTCTCTAATTAGTTTGTTATGAAATATACTATATCTCGCATTAATAGAGCCAATCTTGCATTTGTTTGGCTAACATTCGCATGATATATCTTTTTCCATCCTTTTGATTTCAGCTTGCCTGTACCATCGTATTTGAAGGTAGTCTGGTTGTAGCCAGGATGTAACTGGATCAGGTCCATTAATCTACTGTACCAATCTGTATCTTGTAACTGGTATACTTCAGCCATTGATATTTAATGTGGCGATTGATATTGTAGGGCTTAAGTCAGCTATTGGAGAGGCTGAGGCATAAGAATCACTGGAACCTGGGAGGCAGAGGTTGCAGGGAGCCCAGATCTTGCCACTGCACTCCAGCCTGGGTGACAGAGCAAGTCTCTGCCTCAAAAGAAAAAAGAAATTATTATTTCTAGAATCCCTGGCTTAGGACGCCAGCGCCTTATCCATGAGGCGACTGGGGCCATTCCCCATTTCTGAACGTGAGCATTCAGTGCCTTAAACTTGCCCCAGGCACCACTTCAGCTGCCTCTCACCAGTTTGGGAATGTTATGTTTTCATTAAGTTTGAAAGTGTGATCAAGTATTGAACTTAAGTCAGATAGAATAAGTGACCTAAACAGGAACCCAAAGGACCCCCTGAGCAGAAAGGAAGGCATCAAGGCACTGAGGCCAAAGGGCTGGTGAAGAAAGAAGTTGCTGTAGCAATTTACCTCGAGTGCAGTGGCTCACACACCTGTAATTTCAACACTCTGGGAGGCCGACGTGACTGGATCACCTGAGTTCAGGAGTTTGAGACCAGACCAGGCCAACATGGCGAAATCCTGTCTCTACTAAAAATACAAAAATTACCTGGGTGTGGTGGCATGTGCCTGTAGTCCCAGGTACTTCCGATACTGAGGCAGGAGAGTGGCTTGAACCCAGGAGACGGAGGCTGCAGTGAGCCAGGATCGTGCCACTGCACTCCAGCCTGGGAGACAGAGGAGAGACTCTGTCTCAAAACAGCCCAAAACACAACAACAGCAAAAGAATTTACAGCAACGATCCAGATGGAGAAACTGAGGAATGGAAAGATAAAATAGCAGAGTTAGTAGATAGCCCAGCAAAGATTTGAATCCAGATACTCTGACTCCAGCTGCCCCCTCCTGGCCGTTCTGGTTCCTGGCCACTGGCAAGGACCCAGGTCTGGCCTAGGCCTGGTATTTGTGGTTCTCTCCCTGCAGGGCGTGAAATGGAGGGTCGGGCGGCACTGGACATTGTACACCAGGTTCGCGTGGATGCGGGGGGCTCCTTCCTGTCCTATGAGCTGTGACCTCTCGCACTGCGCAAGCGGGATCTGTCTGGGCACTGCGACGCGCCCGCCTTCTACCAGCTGCAGTACCGCCGGCGTGAGCTGCTCTTCAACCTGACCGCCAATGCGCACCTGCTGGCGCCCCGCTTTGTGAGCGAGACACAGCGGTGCGGCGACCTGGGTCACGTGCACATCCAGGCCCACACCCCTGCCTGCCACCTGCTCTGCGAGGTGCAGGACCCCGAGTTCGAGGGTGGCCTCGTGGCCATCATTGCCTGCGACGGCCTGATGAGTGCGCTGGGACACGAGTGCTCGGGGCAGTCTCACATGGTGGGATGTGGAGAGGAGCTCTCACCTTGCCACCCACTTGTCCAGTGGCTTTGCCCAGCGCACTTCTCCTCTGCCAGCCTCGGTATTCACGCCTGTAAAATGGGAGTGACAGCGCAGGCCCCGTTGATCTCTGGGACAGCAGGTCTGAAAGCTTAACATGAAAGCTGCATGGCAGTGCACCTGTAGTCCCAGCTATTTGGGAGGCTGAGGCAAAGGATCACTTGAGTCTAGGATTTCGAGGATATGGGGTGTGACGATTGCACTTTGCTGGAGACACAGTGAGACTCCAGGCACTCTCAAAAACAAAATAATAATCATGTGAGCTCAAATCACCTGCAGGCCCTGTTTAAACAGAATGTTTGCAGGGAAGGTCTGGGACGACATCCAAACACTTATATTTCTGAAAACGTCACAGGTAATGTTGAAGATCCAGGTCCGGAGACCCCCACTTTGAGAAGCTCTGTTTGACTGGACTAAGCAACTGCAAAAGCAGTTGGTTTCTCTTTTGTGGGCATCAGTTATGACTGTTCCTTCACAGGTCCCTTTAGGCTGCTCTTCTCCAGGAAAGCCACCCCTCACCCTGCAGCCATTCTGCAGGGCACAGGGAGGAGCCCCCTTCAGCCCCTCTGCCCCGATCCGAGCTCTGGGAAAAGCAAGCCTCAGTTTTCTGGCTTCCTCTGGCTGGACGGTGGTGCTGGCTACTGCCTGCTTCCCCAGTGAGCACTGATTAGAGCAGCTTCCACTCAGGCAGAGTGGGGTCCTTTCTGTTCGTGTTCAGGAGACCAGCCCCACTCTCCCAGCCCTGAGGGTGGGTCCTTGGAGGGATAGGGGATGTGCACACATTCAACATCCTCTGTTCCCAGGAGGCCCGTGGCTGAGATTGCTCAGGCAGAAACCACAGGCTGCAGCTGTAGAGGGCTAATGGAGGTCAACCCACAACACAAGCTGCAGAACGTCTGGGCCACTGAAGGCCCATCTGCCCCGCATGGTATCCTCATTTATAGAGACCGTGCCTCTCCCTTCATGTACAGTTAATCTTGTTGAGCAGCTGTGCATATGGGGGATCATTCCCATTTCACAGACGAGGAAACAGGCTCAGAGGGGAACTTGCCCAGGGTCACCTAGTCATTTAGTGGGTGCTGTGTGTGTGTGGCAGGGTCCACATTCAAACCCAGGTCTCCAGAACTAAGAGCTGATGCACTTTCCAGCCCTCCAGGCTCCCTGGTCTTGTGTGGTCCAAGGGGCAGAATGGCTGCCTATGAGGGGCAGTCCGCGGGACGTACACCTTCTTCCCTGGCGCCCTGAGCATCCTCAGGAGGTAGTGGGCATCAAAGATGCTTCCCAGGGCCCCTCCCTTCCCTGGATTCTGAATGCTAGTGGTCATGCCCTAGACACTCCTGCCAGCTTCCTTCTGGGGGCAGCCCTGAGCCCAGAGAACAGGATGTCTTGGTGGTCGTGGACATCTCCTCCATGCAGGTGTGGGTGTAGATGCTTTTGGAGTGATTCATTGCCTTAGGGAAATAGAGGGACCATCAGAGGCCCTGGCCAGCTGGGAGGGGGCACAGTGCTGGAAATGGCTGGCATGCAGAGGAAATGCAGAATAGCCTGGAGGCCTGGGCACAGGCTGCCCCATGCAGGGTGGCTTGTGGGACTCTGGAAGACACCGTTTTGTCTGATTTGGATGCAGACCTGTTTGCCTCTCCAAATGGGGTGGGTGTGTGGGGCAGCATCCCCAGGGTCAGAGGCTTCTGAGCTCTGCTTTGAAGGTTTGGCTGTGTGTGGAATGGCAGAGAAGGCATTCCAGATGGAGGCCGCAGAGTGAGCAATGCTCCAGTGAGAGGAAAGCACAGGGTATCCCCAGCAGTCACAGGTGGTGTGCACAGAGGGGGCTCAGCTCGATGGGATGGACCTCTGGGACATGCAGGAAGAGCAGCCCTCCCTGCGTCACCCTGGTTCTTCTTCCCCAGAAAGGTGTGTTCCAGGTCTCCAATGAGGACTACTTCATTGAGCCCCTGGACAGTGCCCCGGTTCGGCTTGGCCACACCCAGCTCCACATGGTGTACAAGCGTCAGACCTTGGAGAGACCGGGACAGCGGGGTGATTCCATTGCTACAAGCACCTGTGGGGTGCCAGGTATGCTCCTCTGCTCCCAGTTCTCAGCCAGGTGCTGGGCCTGGGGACATGAAGGTCCCTTTCTAGAAGCCCCTCCGAGCATCCCCATGCCCAGTGTCCCTTAGACCAGAGAACACAGAAAGACAGATCTGTCACCATAGCCTGTGCCCTTAATTATGTCACAAGACTGTGTCCTCTGCCTTTCGGGCTTGCCACAGTTAATCCCTCATCTGACCTCCCTGGCTCCATGTCACCTGCCTCTCCCAGAGGGCTTGACCTCCCTCTGCCCCCACCCGCCCATAGCCTATAGCACTCGGCTCTGCCAACCATTCTTCCTCCAGCGCCCAGGCCGGGTGGGCCCTGCCCAGCTCCAACAGGGCCACTAGCCAGGAACCTCCCTCCCCTGCACCCTGCTCCCACCCAGAATAACTGACCTCTATTACTGGGACCTGGAGTGTAGTACCCAGAATGGCAGCAGTGCCAGGCAGTGCAGGTGAGGAGCTGCCCGCTAAGGGTTGCTGAGCCTTGAGAAATGCTCGCTTGGCATGCCAACCTCAAGCTGCCCACAGCTCTGATACTCTATTTGCTGGAGCACAGATCCACAGAAGCATGCTTCTTGGCCTCAGTTTCCCCACCTTCATAAATGTGCTTTCTCTTCTGATCTGGAGCAGCCTGGGTGAGGGGAGCTGGCCCAGTAGGGCCAGCTGGGCTGGGTGGTGGCCATCCTCCCCAGGCTGGGGTTTTGAGGGTGGGATCTGACTGTGCTGGGATACACTAACCCCCAGGGTGGGAGAAGTGACACGGGACGATAGGGGCCCAGGTGCCAGCTTTGTCAGGCCCAGGAGTTCCCCTCCCATGGACACATGACTTTACCATGTTTATATCCACCATTTCATTTGTCACCCTCTGAGGCAGATCACCTTATTCCTATTTTCAGTCAGAGAATCTCAAGATCAGAGAAGGAAAGGGACCAGGCAGAGCCACACAGCACAGGTCTGGGGCAGAGCTAAGAGGGGAATCCAGGACCCTCGCCTCTGGTCCCAGTGCCATTCCCAGTGCCCCAGAAAGAGCTCGCTGAGAGGCCCTGGAGACACGTGCCCTGGGCCAGTCCGCTGGCAGCTAACCCCACCCCACCTTGGCCTCCAGTGTCCCCAGAGCTGGAGCCTCAACAGGAGCGTTGGGAGCAGCGGCAGCAGTGGCGGTGGCAATGGCCGAGGTGTCTACACCAGTGCTCAGTCAGCAAGAAGTAGGTGGAGACCCTGGTGGTGGCTGATGCCAAAATGGTGGAGTACCATGGACAGCCACATGTTGAGAGCTATGTGCTGACCATCATGAACATGGCGAGTCTGCTGTGGGCAGTGAGGGGGTGGCGGAAATGGTGTTGGGGGATGGGGTGCAGAGAGTGGGTGCAGGGCAGGAGGGCTGGCAGGCTGGACCCCAGACGCAGGTCCAGGCCCCAGGCAGAATGAAGGGTCTCCAAGCTCCTGAGGCCAGGAAGGGGTGGGGGGCTTGGCAGCAGTCACAAGGAGAGCGCCTGGGCAGAGGACTGCTGTGGGGATGTGATAGGGTGTCATGTCACTGGGAGGGGGCATGGGATGGGGAGACAGAGGCAGCCACAGCCCTGTGCCTGCTGGAGTTTTGTAGACTAGTTGGTTCATTCCTGCCTCCCTGCACAGACACCTCCCTACTTTGCGTCAGGACCTGTGCTAGATGCTGGAAACACAAATGTCTGATCAGACCATGCCCTGCCTGCGACCCTGCCTGAGACATCAGCAATGTTACAGTTAGGAGGATCTGTGCAGTTCTGTGGTCTACTAGCTGGCAGCCTTGGGCAAGGCACTGTCCCTGTCTGAGCCTCAGCTACTCGTCTGTGAACTGGGCATGACGATACTACCTTGTGGGGTTGGCAAACCGCTCTTGAGCCCACACCATGGATGAGATATCAGGGGACCTGAGAAGGTGAGTGACTTACCCGGGTCACACAGCCAGGCAGGGCAGAGGTGGATGGGAGCCTAGGTGTCCTAAGTCGCACTGGGGGCACTGTGACTAATAGCAGCTGGTGATTCCTGGAGCTGGCTACTGCAGAAAGGGCACTTCCTTCTCCCACCCTGTGGGGACAAGTGGGAGGCCTCAGGCTCCAAGCTGCTTCCTGTAGCCCCTGGGAGGAAAGCTCTCTGCCCCTGGCATTCTTAGCAGCCACCGGGTGGTCAGGCCAGCATATTACCCTGTTTCTCTCCTGGGCTGGCTGATCGGGGCAAGGTAAGGGTGTGTGCTGTGAGCAAGATGACATCTAAAGGAGCCCCGGTGCCAGGATCCTCCGCTGCTACTTCCCCTGCCAGCCCCTCACCTTCAACCCTAAAGGAAATATCCTCTGAGATCGTCCAGTGTCTGGCCCCCTAGTTTATAGCTGTGAAGCCTGAGGCTCAGAGAGAGAGGAAGAGGCTGCGTCCAGGGGTGCTCTCTACCTGCTGGCCACCACTTCCCCACTGCTTGAGTCCACAGCAGCCAGTGCAGCTCAGGGCCAGTTCTTCTCTGACTAGGACACTCTCATTGGCTCCCTGTTCCATATGGAATAAAAGTCACAGCCTTCTGCCTGGCATTTGAGGCCTTGAAGGCCTTAGCTCAAGCCTCATCTGCCTAGGGAGGGGAGCCATTAACAGCTAGGCTTCAGCAGGGACTATTGCTGGACAGCGGGGCCCAGGCCCTGGACTAAAGGGGGTGGAGCAAGGGGCAAGGCCAGGTTCTCAGTCCCTGAGGTCCCCTCCCGCTCATTCTCAGCACTTTGGGGGCTCAGCCTGAAAGACCCAGGAGTCTGGCTGGAGCCACTGATGATTAATTGGGTTCATTTCACCCCCACTTTTCTGAGTGTTCCTGTGCTCCAGATTCTGGGCAGAGTATGAACCACCCCACTAGGTGTGGTGGTTCACAGGTGTAATTCCAGCACTTTGGGAGGGCGAGGTGGGCAGATCACTTGTTTGAAATCAGGAGTTCGAGACCAGCCTGGCCAACATGGTGAAACCCCATCTCTACCAAAATACAAAAAACAGTTGGGTGTGGTAGTGCACACCTGTAGTCCCAGCCACTTGGGAGGCTGAGGTGGGAGGATCACCTGAGCCTGGGAGGTGGAGGTTGCAGTGAGCTGAGATTATGCCACTGCACTCCAGCCTGGGTGACAGAGTGAGACCCCATCTCAAAAAAAATACAAAACCAAAAACAGATCCACCCAGCCCAACAGGTCCCCATGACTTGACCTGGGTGACAGGATTGAGGTCTTTTTGCTGCAGGGCCGGGCCCCTTCCTGGTTGCCTTGCCCTGGCTCACAGGACCCATGCATTCACTTTGTGAGTCTCATTCCAGGGACAGGGTTGGGCCTGGTTCTCACACTCACCTGCTCTGATAATATCAAGCTCTCCTGAGCTGGTGAGCCCAGTGTTGGCCAGGACAAGGTGGGGGCATCTAAGATTGTAACAGTGCTGGACCCCCTAGGAGACTGAGGAAGGAGCCTTGTGAATATCTGTCTACCTTTTGTCCGGTGTTCAATACCCACCACCTCCTCTAAACCTCACCGCCATTGATTGATTGATTGATTGATTGATTGACAGGCTCTGTTGCCCAGGCTGGAGTGCAATGGCGTGATCTCAGCTCACTGCAACTTCCACCTCCCAGGTTCAAATGACTCTCCTGCCTCAACCTCCTGAGTAGCTGGGACTACAGGTGCACGCCACCGTGCCTGGCTAATTTTTTTTGTATTTTTAGTAGAGATGGGGTTTTGCTATATTGGCCAAGCTCGTCTTGAACTCCTGACCTTGTGATCCACCTGCCTTGGCCTCCCAAAGTGCTGAGATTACAGGCGTGAGCCACAGCACCTAGCCAGTTTTACCCCATTTTCACCCTCAATTCTGTTCTTGCTCTCTAAGGCCACAGGCCCTTTTCAAGGGGCTTTTTCACACTTTCAGCTCAGCAGGAGCCTGTGGTTACCTGTAACCTCCAGATCTTACCTTCACAAACACTACACACCTCTGGTATACTCTCCAGGTCTGCAGCAGAACAAGGCCGGGCCTCCCTGCGTATCATTTATCCAGCTGAAACACCCCACAATGACCTTAGGCCATTAACCAATGCTACTTGGTAGAGTTGATTAGCTATTGAAGACCCTGCCTCCCTCTGACATCTCCCAATGCCTGCCTTGCTCCCGTAGCTCCTGGGAGATAGTGAGGTTGTACATGCTGAGGGAAGGCCTTTGTGGTGGCACTAATCCGTCCCAGCCCTGACCCAGAATATAAGATGGGTCAGTCTTCAGGCAGGCTGAGCAGACCCTCAGGGGCTTCTGGTCCTCTGGAGCCACTTTGCTGTGGACTGATACCACGCTTACCTGTCTGTGGTCTAGGAAAGATTTGTTCTTTTGATCTGCCTTTCTCATTTTCCACTGTTTCTTTTCTTTTCTTTCTTTCTTTTTTCTTTGAGATGGAGTCTTGTTCTGTCTCCCAGGGTGTAGTGTAGTGGTGCATTCTCGGCTCACGGTAACCTCTGCCTCCCAGGTTCAGGTGACTCTCCCGCCTCAGCCTCTGGAGTAGCTAGGATGACAGATGCACACCACCACACCCAGAAAATTTTTGTATTTTTAGTAAAGACAGGTTTTCATCATGTTGGGTAGGCTAGTCTTAAACTCCTGACCTCAGGTGATCCACCTGCCTTGGCCTCCCACAGTGCTGGGATTATAGGCGTGAGCCACCACTCCTGGCCTCCACTGTTTCTTTTTGATCAGATAATATATTGGAAATACTGAGCCAGTACCCAAGGCACATTCATTCATTGAACAAATATGTCTTGACTGCCCATCATATGCCAGGTACAAGACGTGTCACTGGGGCTGTGAGAGGGAGTTCACATAGATCTGGCCCCTGCCCTCAAGGAGCTTGTGGTCTGGTGAAGGAAACAGACATGAGTTAATGAAACCATTACCTTCTTGCGAAGGAGCAACGGAGAGAGACACTGGGAAGGGCAAGTTCATGGTGTTTTAGGAGTGTTAGCTCAAATAAAGGCTCCCCAGAGGACATGACGAGGGGTGGAGGGCAGGAGAGAGGATAGGAGGTAACTGGGGGAAGATAGGTGGGAAGATATTCCAGGCAGAGGTCACAGCATCTGCAAAGGCCCTGTGTGAGGAAGAATCATGAGATTCTAAGAGGAAGACAGAAGGGTTGGAGCCAGACAGTGGGAGGGGAAAGGGAGGCAAAGGGAGGTCAGAGAGGAAGGCAGGGGCCAGATCCAACAGGCCTGTTGGCTAGGCTAGGGACTCCTGTCCTTTTCCTGGACAGTAAGAGCCACTTACTGCTTTAGGCAAGGGTGTGGTATAATTGGGTTTGCGTTTCACTTTTTTTTTTTTTTTTTTTTTTTTTTGAGATGGAGTTTCGCTGGAGTGCAATGGCGAAATCTTGGCTCACCGCAACCTCTGCCTTCTGGGTTCAAGCAATTCTCCTGCCTCAGCCTCCCGAGTAGCTGGGATTACTGACATGTGCCACCACGCCTGGCTAATTTTGTATTTTTAGCAGAAATGGGGTTTCTCCATGTTGGTCAGGCTGGTCTCGAACGCCCAATCTCAGGTGATCCACCCACTTTGGCCTCCCAAAGTGCTGGGATTACAGGCATGAGCCACCACACCCGGCCCTGGGTTTGCATTTCAAAGGCACATGATCGAGCTGCTAGGCTGCAGGTGGCCTGGAGGGGCCGCAGAGTATGGGGACACTTGCAGGAGACCGCAGCAGCTGAACAGACGATGATGGCAGATGATGATGGCAGCTTGGACGGGGCAGTGGTGTTGGAGATGGAGAGAACAGACAGAGTCAGGTAAAACTGGGGAGGCAGAATTGGTTGGTTGAGTGGAGAAAGGTGATTCCGGCTTGCCGGGCTCCCAGCCTGAGCGTGGGGGCAACAGGGGTACACGATAGCGCTGTTTATCTCCCCGTTTCTGACCTGTGGTTCTGAGAGTGTTGTTCATCCACATAATCAGGGGCTTTGGTGCCCTCTTAACAGTGTTTGGTCTCTTCCTCTTTTTTTTGAGATGGAGTTTCACTCTTCTTGCCCAGCTTGGAGTGCAATGGCACGATCTTGGCTCACTGCAACATCTGCCTCCTGGGTACAAGAGATTCTCCTGCCTCAGCCTCCCAAGTAGCTGGGATTACAGGCGCCTGCCACCATGCTCAGCTAATTTTGTATTTTTAGTAGAGACGGGGTTTCTCCATGTCGGTGGGGCTGGTCTCGAACTCCTGACCTCAGGTGATCTGCCCTCCCCAGCCTGCCAAAGTGCTGGAATTACAGGCGTGAGCCACCGCGCCTGGCCTGGTCCCTTCCTATTTGACTATTCTTTTTCTTGATGCATTGCTAGAAGTGAACTCACAACTGGCCTGTTCTGCCATCCCGGCCCTCTGGGAACCTGCCGGCTGTCCATGTGTTCTGAGGGAGTTTTAAAGGAGCAGATGGGTTTCCTCACCCATTTCCCCTCACCTTGGCTTATCTTTCATCTTTGGGGACAGCCCCCTCTCCTGGGGCTCAGTAGGGAGCCCCCTGTAGCCATGGGGCCTCTGACAGATGTGCACACCTGTTCTCTTGGTCCCCTGGCTGTCAGTCCTGGGGGATGGGATAGCAGAGCAGTGGAGAGGTTCCACAGGCCTTTGCCTACCCTCACTCTACCCTCAGGGCTCTGCCCAGGTCTGTGCGTCATTGGAAGGTACACTCCTGGGATGATGCTCCTGGCATCCCCAGGACAGGAGAGCGCTGCTGTCATAGCCCAGGGGCAGTGGGAAGACTGGGGCCCTGAGACAGGCCACGAAACCAGCATTTGGAGGCCTGAGCTGCTGTCGCCTGTGTGGGATGGGCATGGAGTTGGTACTTGAAAGCAGATCCCAAACTGTGTGCTCAGGGCAGGCTGCAGGCCTGGGAAGGGGCCTCGAAGACCTCTTGTCTTCTCCAGGTTCTGCCACTGCCAGGTTGGGGCAGTGTGTATGAGGTGTGGGGACACTCGTGCATTGGTGCCTGTGCATTGCCTGTCAGCTGCGCACCCTGCGTGCACCCATGCCAGCATCCCTGTGTGTGAGCATGGGTGTGTGTCGTGCTGTGTGGATCGGGGTGGGCATTGGCTGCCTGTATCCTTCATCCTGACAGCAGCCTGACTGACCCCCCGCTCCCGTCTCTTGGGCAGGTGGCCAGCCTATTTTATGACCCCAGCATCAGGAACCCCATCCACATCACCATTGTGTGCCTGGTCCTGCTGGAGGATGAGGAGGTGAGTGGCCATGTGGTCCCATGGTGCCCGGCAGTGCCATGGCTGCCAGACTCCTCTTGCCCCATGACCTGTGCTGCTCTGTATGGAAGGGCACAGTGAAGCCCGCCTTGGCCTGGACTGTGTCCCCTGCCACCCCCTTGCCCCTGACTGACCCTTTCTTCGGTCCCCTGCAGGAGGTTCCTACAGGAGGGGTGGTCAGGCCAGAAGCGGGACTAGTGCTGTTGGGACTCCCACTGCCCTGCTGGGCCTCTGTCTCCTGCCTTTGTATGGAGAATTGGGCTCGACCCTCTTGGAACTCAGGGGAGGCGTGAGCAGTCACTCTCTCTGCCCCCAGGAGGATCTAAAGATCACGCACCATGCAGACAACACCCTGAAGAGCTTTTGCAAGTGGCAGGAAAGCATCAACATGAAGGGGGACACCCACCCCCTGCACCACGACACCGCAAGCAGGTGCCGCCAACCGCAGGAGGGTGGGAGCCTGCAGCTCAGGGAGGTGCTTCCTGGCCCCGAGGGAGAAGCCGTGGTGGGACGGGAGTCTGCACACTTTTGGCCCAAGGCTGGATTCTGTCAGCACTTGGGAAGGTCTTTTTATTCGAAATAATTGTGGATTCTCATGCTGTTGTCGGAAATGATACAGACAGAGGGCCTGTATGGCCTCCACCCATTCCCCCTGCGGTAACAGCTTGCATGACTAGAATACAGGATCCCAGCCAGGAAACTGACACTGATGCCATCCACAGACGTCATCAGACCTTGTCAGTTCCACACACGCTTCCCTTTGTGTGTATGTGCGTGTTTGTGTATTCAGTTCTATGCGGTGTCATCCCTTGTGGGTTCACCTACCCACCTGCACAGTCAAGGTACAGACCTGTCCCTTCGGAAGGATGTCTTCTGCCATGTGTTCATAGTCACAGCCACCTTCCTCCCTCCTCCCTTACCTTCCAGCACCTGCCCATCTGTCCGGAGTCTGTTATTTTCCCTCTGCTGGACTCTGGTAGCTTCTGTGAGCGCCCCTGCTGGGACAGTAACCAGAATTGTTCTGTGTGGTCCTGTGCTCCCAAGTTCCAAATAGATGTCCAGTGGGCGATGTGTGAATGACAGCACCTGCTTCCCGAATGGTCACTGTGCTGGCCCGATGTCACAGAACAGTGGGAGGGACATCTTTTTCGCTCGGGGTCAGTCGGGGGAACCCTTCCCCGGCCTGAGCTCAGGTGCGCCTGGCACTGGACCAGGTTAGCCTGAAGGCCACTTCTCTGCCTGTGTAGGAAGGACTTGTGCGCAGCCATGAACCAGCCATGTGAGACCCTGTTCCTGTCCCACGTGGCGGGTGTTGGGTAGAAATAGCCCATCCCCCATATCCGGGGCCCACATCCAGCAGGCTGCCTCTGGAGGTTGGTCTGCCCAGCAACAGGACTAGCCAATTGCTTTCCCGTGTCAGCCCGCCAAAACCCGTACATGCCCCGACAGCAGCCAGCCAAAACCTAGCCACGGGGCTCTTCCCTCTTCTTTGTTTAGCCTCCACCAATCATCTCCTCACTTTAGCCCGCCAAAGCTAAGCCAACCCTTGCACCCCACGATATTCCCACTCCGCCCATGTCCAACCTCCACCAATCACTCCACGACACCCCACCTACACGGGCCCCCCTCCCTATAAAAACCCTCTCCGGCAGCTGCTGGGTGCAGCTCTTCCCTCTCCCGCCCGAGTTGCCCGTAAACCCCAATAAACCTGGACTCGGCCCAGCGGTTCCTTGGACTGAATTATTTCGGGAAGGGTCTCTGCGGGTAGCACAGCGGGCATGTGCCAGCCTCACCACAGCTGCAGCATCAACGAGGACACGGGCCTGCCGCTGGCCTTCACGGTGGCCCATGAGCTCTGGCACAGGTACCGTGCCCACTCCCGCTGCTACACTGAGAGCTGAGCCTTACCTTCCCAACCTGGGGGCACCGGGCAGCCAGCCTGTGGGTCACAGAGTCTGGGGGAAAGGAAACACTCTGCTGCCCTGCTCTGTCCCCTCCACCTCCCTGTTAAGCAGAAGAGAGGCCCGCCTGGGCACCTCTGGACTGGCCTGGAGGGTGTCTTATTTAAAGACAGGTTGTGATAGGTGGGCAAGTCGTTGTAGATTTTTGGCTCTCCCTCCCTGTTGCCCTTAGTGCTGTATTTTTCACTTGTGATCCCCCTCCCTGCTCCTGTTTGCTCTGTGGGCTAGACCAGTGCCTGCCCTCTCTGGGCCTCTGTGTGCTTCCCCAAAGGGGTTGGAGTCAGTGATGTCCAAGGTCCCTCTGTCTGCTGCTGCCACCTGAGGCTCCTGTCTTCACATGCCCCCAGCCACCTGTGCCCAGGCTGTTGGGCTGGTGAATATGGCAGCATCTTAGATTGTCCAGCAAACCAACAAGGGCAGGTTCCCAGAGGGTTCTGTAGGTCAAAGGCATTTTGGGGTCATCCATTCAGACATCCGAGTTTTGTGAGTGGTGGCCGTGCCTGAAGCCGCTTACGGCAGCAGAAGGAACAGCCTGCCGCAGTACCATCGTTTCCTGGCTCTGTTATCCTGGCTAGTTCCGTAGACCTTGAGCCTCCTGGGGGTAACAATCAGAACCGTGTGACACTGTTTCTGAAAGGAACTATCATGGCTCCCAGCACATAGTAGATGCTCAGGAAATCATTTTTCTCATGTGCTTCCCAAGGATCGTCTCAGGAGGCCTTGCCGTGATGCAGCAGCTCAGATCCCTTAACTCAAGTCCACGGCCTTGGGACAAGGACCTGTGAGGGAGAACCTCTGTCAAACTGTTCTTGAGGCCAGCGAGCTTACAGAGGCCATCACAGGCCCTCATCTGTGCCACCTGGTTTGCCACTGCTGGCCAGCGCCCGGGCAGGAGCAGGGGTGCTCTGGGTCCCTGACCCTCATTCAGGCTTAGGCTGGAGGAGGAGCACTTGGGATACTGGCTTTCATTCCCCCATTTTACATGAAGGGAAACTGAGGCTTGGAGAGGGAATGTGACTTTCTCAAGGCCACGGCTGTTGGGTGGCAGAAACAGGCCTGGGAACTAGGACAGTGCGCTTTGTAGGTCTCTCAGGGAGGGCAGGCTGGAAGCGTCCCGCTGGCTCACCCGCCTCTGGGGTCTGTGCTCTCACACAGTTTTGGCATTCAGCATGAAGGAAGCGGCAATGACTGTAAGCCGGTTGGGAAAGGGCCTTTCATCATGTCTCCACAGCTCCTGTACGACGCCGCTCCCCTCACCTGGTCCCGATGCAGCTGGGAGTACATCGCCAGGTTCCTTGAGTAAGTCCCGCCCCCAGCCCCGGGCCCCTGCGCCTTGATCCATGAGATCAAGGTCTAATGGGAGAGGTGCAGTCACGTTGCAGGCCGGGGTACAGGGAAGCAGAGGGGCACCTGGCCAAGGGAGGTGCTGGTGTCCCAGATGTCCTCCTGGAGGCGACACCTGAGCTTGAACTTGGAGGAGGAACAAGAGTTCACATATGTGCAGAAGGTAGAAGAATGGTCTTCCTGGTGGAGGAAGCCTGAGAAAGGCCTGCAGCCACGAAGGAGCAGGAGAGCTTTCAGGGGACAGCAGAACCCTGGGGGAGGCTGTGGGAGCCGAGGCTTCTGCATAGGAAACGAGGCCAGAGGAGGCGAGGGCCAGCCCCACGGTCCAGTGCGAGGCAGGGAGAACGCACCACTAAGGGAACTCAAATACGAAGCTTTCTCCTTTCTTTCGTGTTTTCTTAATTTGTTCTGATGGGTTTTTGTTGTTATTGTTTGTTTGTGTTTTGAGACAGAGTCTTGCTCTGTTGCCCAGGCTGGGGTGCCTGGCACAATCTTTCCTCACGGCAACCTCCACCTCCAGAATTCAAGCAATTCTCCTGCCTCAGCCTCCTGAGTAGCTGGGACTACAGGCATGCGCCACAATGCCGGGCTAATTTTTGTGTTTTTATTAGAAACGGGGTTTTGCCGTGTTGCCCAGGCTGGTCTTGAACTCCTGACCTCAGGTGATCCGCCCACCTCGCCCTCTCAGACTGCTGGGGTTACAGGCGTGAGCCACCGCGCCCAGCCTGTTTTAGAATTTTTTTTTTAATTCGCTATTTAATGTCGTTCTAAGTAAGAAAAAGTTTTAAATTTATATTATAGCATATGTATTACCATTCATCTTTATTTTAAATACAAATATAAGAGTACAGCTGACCCTCGAGCAATGCAGGGGTTGGGGCGCTGATCCCTGCACACTGAAAATCCACGTATAACTTTCAATGAACCCAAAACGACTAATAGCCTACTGTTGACTGGAAGCCTTACTGATCACATAAACACTTAATACTTATTTCGCATGTTATATGTAATAGGTGCTGTATTCTTGCCATAAAGCAAGCTAGACAAAAGCAAATGTGATTGAAATCATAAGGAAGAGAAAATATGTTTACTGTTCATTCAGCGGAAGTGGCTCATCATAAGGTATGCATCCTCATCCTCTTCACATTGAGTAGGGTGAGGAGGGAGGAGAAAGGCAGGGTAGGGGGGTGGTCTTGCTGTCTCAAGCAGGGCCGAGGTGGAAGACAGTCATACGTCAGTGGATCCCCACAGTTCAAATCCATGTTGTTCAGAGGTCAGTTGTATTAATGTGTATGCAGAATCACCAAAATTGCACAGTTCATCTTTCATAGCTCATATTTTTTTTTTTTTTTTGAGACGGAGTTTTGCTCTTGTTACCCAGGCTGGAGTGCAATGGCACGATCTCGGCTCACCGCAACCTCCGCCTCCTGGGTTCAGGCAATTCTCCTGCCTCAGCCTCCTGAGTAGCTGGGATTACAGGCACACACCACCATGCCCAGCTAATTTTTAGTATTTTTAGTAGAGACGGGGTTTCACCATGTTGACCAGGATGGTCTCGATCTCTTGACCTCGTGATCCACCTGCCTTGGCCTCCCAAAGTGCTGGGATTACAGGCTTGAGCCACCGTGCCTGGCCGTAGCTCATATTTACCAGATGGTGAGAGAGAATAAAACCATCTCAATGGTTTCATCTCACTCCTGGATATGTGCACATTCTATCCAGTCTGTCTAGCTTTTGCTTAGCAGTGAGGAAGGAAAGACTGAAAGACAGAGGCACTGTGGGGTTCTCTTTCCTCCTGTGTCTTTATTTTCTGCGTAAAGGTTGGCTAATACAGGGGCGTGAGTGAGAAGGGATGATGGGGCTCTTTGGTCACTGTCTTTTTTCTGCGTTTGAAGTTAAGTCTGGTTCAAATGGAAAATGTCACCTCTGGGCTTGTCAGTGCCCCCTGCCCCTTACTCGGTCACAGACATAATGTGTTTATCTTCTAATTGCTTTTGAGTTTCACCAACTCCTACACGTTATAGATTCTGAGCTCATGGAGCAAAGTCAACGTTAGATGCAAGTGGGGGAGCAAGGAATGGTGGATGCAGACACTGCTGTCTCCTCTGCTCACACACAGGCTCCTTTGTCCCATCAGATCTTGCTTACTGGCTGGGCACCATGGCTCACACCTGTAATCCCAGCACTTTGGGAGGCCGAGGCGGGCAGATCACTTGAGGTCAGGAGATTGAGACCAGCCTGGCCATCATGGTGAAACCCCATCTTTACTAAAAATACAAAAATTAGCCAGGCATGCTGGCAGGTGCCTGTGATCCCAGCTACTTGGGAGGCTGAGGCAGGAAACTGCTTGAACCTCGGAGGTGCAGGTTGCAGTAAGCCGAGATCGTGCCACTGCACTCCAGCCTGTGTGACAGAGTGAGACTCCGTCTCAAAAAAAAAAGGAAGAATAAAATAAACAGACCTCGCTTATAAGGCACAAGGTCAAAGATATGAAGAATTCAAGATGGTAGGCCATGCATGGTGGCTCACACCTGTAATCCCAGTACTTTGGGATGCTGACGGAAGTAGATCACCTGAGGTCAGGAGTTTGAGACCAGCCTGGCCAACATGGTAAAAACCCGACTCTACTAAAAATACAAAAAATTAGCTGGTTGTGGTACCAGATACCTGTAATCCCAGCTACTCAGGAGTCTGAAGCAAGAGAATTGCTTGAACCCAGAAGGCAGAGGCTGCAGTGAGCCAAGAACCACACTCCAGCCTGGGCAACAAGAACAAAGAAACTCCGTCTCAATAAAAAGCGAAGACTTCATGACGCAACAGCAGAGCGTTGTACCTCTGTCCCACTCCTCTCCACCCTCCCCTGCTTTCCTCTTGGCAACCACCTGCAAACTTAACACTTTAGCTTTTCCTTGTTTTTACCTTCCTATTTCCAAAAAGCATTGCTAGACTCTCATTTATTGATTTTCCGGTTTAGATATTATCTGGAATGTTGGGATTTAACACGCTTACAGCACTTCCTACACATACATTTGTTCCCCCTACCTCCCATCCCAGTTTAGTGACATTTGTCACTAAAAATGTGGAATATGATTAAGTCCATATTCCACATTTTCATTATTATGACTCTCAGTCTTTATGGTTGAACTAAGTATTGTAATAGGATAGCATTTCTTTTATTTCTTTTTCTGTTTTTGTTTTTGAGAGTGTCACTCCATTGCCCAGGCTGGAGTGCAGTGGCATGATCTTGTCCCACTGTAGCCTCTGTCTCCCGAGTTCAAGTGATTCTCCTGCCTCAGCCTCTTGAGTAGCTGGGATTACAGGCACCCGCCACCATACCAGCTAATTTTTGTATTTTTAGTAGAGATGGGGTTTCTATGTTGGCCAGGCTTGTCTTGAACTCCTGACCTCAAGTGATTCACACACCTTGGCCTCCCAAAGTGCTGCAATGACAGGCCTGAGCCACCGTGCTCCACCTAGACAGCATTTCTTTTTAAGAACAAGCTTTTCATTTGCTTGGTTTTTCTTTGTTTCTCCAGGCCTTTCAAATACTTTAACAGTTTTATAAAATGTCTCTTAATCCAGTTTTCCCAAAGGTAATCCCTACCAGATAATTCAGTGTGGGGAGGTACATTTCTGGTTTTTTTTTTTCAATTTGTTTTGGTGGAACACATCCTCAAGTAGCTTTCTGAGAAAGTGTGCATGGAGGTAAATGGTTTGCCCCTATTAAAGTGTCTTTATTCTTCCCTCACTTCTGATTGATATTTTAATTTGATACCAGCTTCAGGGTTGGAAAGTTGCTCTTCTTTAGAATGTCGAAGGCATTTTTCTGTTGTCTTCCAGTTTCCAACATTGCTCTGAAGGTCCCTTACCATTCTGATTTGAATGTGACCTTTTAAAAAATCTGGAAGCTTTTAGGACTTTCTTTCTCTCTTTCTCTCTCTCTCTCTTTTTGGTGATTTTAAATTTTACAGTATAGGCCTTTGGTCTATTTTAATTTGAGGGAGCACTCATTGGACTGTTTTAATCTGGAAAGTTGTGTCCTTCGGTTCTTGAAATGTTTTTGTATTATTTATTTGATAATTTTCTCTTTCTGGAACCCTTAATATTCAGCTATTCTCTCATTTTGTTATTTAAAATTTTTTTTTTACTCTTTTTTATATCTTTCTATTTTCTTTTCTTTTTTCTTGTGTTTGAGACAGGGTCTTGCTGTGTTGCCCAGGCTGGAGTGCAGTGGCACAATCATGGTTCACACAGCCTTGAGCTCCCAAGCACAAATGATCCTCCCACCTCAGCATTCCAAGTAGCTGGGACTACAGGTGTGTGCCAACACACCCAGCTAATTATTTAATTTTTTGTACAGATGGGGTCTTGCCATGTTGCTCAGTCTGGGCTTGAACTCCTGGACTTGAGTGATCCTCCTCCCTCAGCCTCTCAAATTTCTGGGATTACAGGTGTGAGTCACCGTCCCCAGCCATCTCTTTATATTTTCTTGGAGGCATCTGATTTTTCTGTACTTTGCAGTCTTTCTATTAAATTTTTGCTTTTTTTCCATTGTACTTTTTTTTTTTTTTTTTTTTTTTTTTTTTTTTTTTTAGACAGAATCTCACTCTGTTGCCAGGTGCCAGACTGGAGTCAGCCTCCTGAGTAGCTGGGACTACAGGCACACGCCACCACGCCCAGCTAATCTTTGTGTTTTTAGTAGAGATGGGGTTTCACCATGTTGGCCAGGATGGTCTCGATCTCTTGACCTCGTAATCCACCCGCCTTGGCCTCCCAAAGTGCTGTGATTACAGGCATGAGCCACTGCACCTGGCCTGTACTTTTAATTTCTTAAACTTTCTCGTTCACTAAATACACATTGAGTGTCCCATATCTGAAATACTTGGGACCAGAAGTGTTTCAGACTTTGGATTTTTTTTTTTTTGAGTATTTGCATTATTGCTTGAACCTGGGAG